AAACATTAAATAAACATTAAAAAAAAAGAGAAATGGGGGGCACCTGGGTGGCTCAGTTGGTTAAGTGTCCGACTTCGGCTCAGGTCACAATCTCACAGTTCGTGGGTTTGAGACCCGCGTCGGGCTCTGTGCTGACAGCTCAGAGCCTGGAGCCGGCTTCGGATTCTGTATCCCTTTCTCTCCTCTACCCCTCCCCCACTCACACTCTGTGTCTCTCTCTCTCTCTCTCTCTCAAAAATAAACAAAAAAATTTTTAAGAGAAATGGGCTTAATCTACTAGAATATACACTTATTAGAAAATAGTTGTAATTCTACTTCATATACATTCCTGTATTTCTAATTTCTGCCCCCATTTCAATTTTCCTGCCATATTCGATAGCTAGTCATACCGAGAAACAGCATAGCATAGCATCAAGAGCATGGACTTCCAAGCCAGACTGACTGTGTTATTCTAGGCAAGATGGTCTTGCTTAACCATTGTGTGCTTTGGTTTCCTCATCTGTAAAATGGAAGTAGTATCTACCTCTTCCATTGTTTGAGGATTAGCCGAGTTAATGAACCCTATTTTTTTTTTTAATGTTTATTTATTTTTGAGACAGAGAGAGACAGAGCATGAGCAGGGAAGGGGCAGAGAGAGAGAGGGAGACACAGAATCTGAAACAGGCTCCAGGCTCTGAGCGGTCAGCACAGAGCCCGATGCGGGGCTCAAACCCACGGACCGTGAGATCATGACCTGAGCCGAAGTCGGACGCTCAACCGACTGAGCCACCCAGGCGCCCCAGTGAACCCTATTTCATAAAGTCTAGGACTCAGTTATTCCCTTAACAGCACTGAAATAAAAATGCATTTTATAACCAATGAAATATCATAGATTAATTGGCAACAGTTTTTCTTTTTTAACGTTACCTAAAATAATGGCATAGGCTTACAATGACTGGCAGCTGAGAGTCAATAAAATACAATCACTAAAGCGCTTAGGACAGCTTTTAGCACAAAGTGCTTTATAAGTATTTGCTGTTGTTATTATCCAGCACTACTGATTTACATTACAAAGGTTCACTTGTACATTTTTAAATGACAGTTCTCAATATTACTTCAAAATCTACTAATGGCTCTTTACCTGGAAATTCATGATGTTATTGAAGGTTCTGGCTGACGTTCCCTCAGTGAATGGGGATCTTCCATAAACCATCTCATAAGCAATAACTCCCACTGACCACCAGTCACAATCCAGACTATAGACGCCTTTTCCGTCCCCATTCATCACAGTCAACACTTCAGGGGCCATGTAATCTGGGGTCCCAATCGGGAGTTTTGCGTTCACCTGGAAACCCATAAGCAAAATGAACACAGCAAAACTTTCAATTATTCTCGAATAGATTGCCGACAGCCACGTTTCAGACACAGGCTGATTTGCCACTGATTACTATTCTCCCAGGCACTTAAACCTTCTGTCAAGTGGCACGCTGTCAGGAAATGCAAACGATTTACTAATTAAAAAAAAAAAAAGTACATAATATAATCCAAAGGCAAAAGGGCAAGAGTTGTTGATGATATACGCCCTTTGGTTACACAAATGAGAATTGGGGAAAGAACGGAAGGTGTCTTTCCTGATACATGTTACACAGTATTTCTCTTACTTAGGAAAACAGCAAAATGATAATAAATCCTAAAGATGAATCTATAAGATCTATCTACCCATTATTGAAAACCTGGCAGCTAGCTGGGGCAACACGATATTGCAAACGCATTATATCTCAAGTTTAAATATTTGGAATCAACATTCCTACTTCAAGCCACCCACAGGGCAAGACATGATAAGTATCTTCCACCAGAGACCAATGTTAATGAGTTCATTTCCCTCACCCCAAACTCCTGTTCCTGTGGTTGCATCCCCACTGTTCAGAAATCCACAGCCCTCCAATCCAGTGGCACTCAAGCACCCAACCCTCGCAAAGGTTAGGACAATGTAGTAGGTCTTTTTCTAAAGCTAAATATATCCCATTTAAAGAACTGTCCTTTTTTCTGAGAACTTGTCCTTCTGACTGTTTTAGTGTTTACATGTCCTTTGTTTCTTGAAATGAGGCCTGATAAAAAACTTTCTGCCCCCTACCCCCTTCCCTTCCTAGACAACAGAGGAAGTCAGCAACGTTTTCAGCCTTCAAAATTATTTTGAAGTCTTACTGAGCCATGAAATTTGAAGGCTAAGGATCACCTCTCTGACTTCTTCCCTATCAACACAGAAAGGGCCTGATGTTAGTCATATACTGTGTTGACCAATAATCCTACAGCCGTCCAATAGCCCTGCCTTTAAAGAGGTTTCTCTCACATTAGCAGTTACATGGGCAGAAACGAACTTTCTCCCTATTAAAGGATGTCGAGTGCCCCTGAGTGACCTTAGATATTTTGTAGGTATGGCCACACCCCTTTAAGGCTGGGCTTTATATTAAGAAAGGCAATTTGCGGGGCGCCTGGGTGGCGCAGTCGGTTAAGCGTCCGACTTCAGCCAGGTCACGATCTCGCGGTCCGTGAGTTCGAGCCCCGTGTCGGGCTCTGGGCTGATGGCTCAGAGCCTGGAGCCTGTTTCCGATTCTGTGTCTCCCTCTCTCTCTGCCCCTCCCCCGTTCATGCTCTGTCTCTCTCTGTTCCAAAAATAAATAAAAAACGTTTAAGAAAGGCAATTTGCTTTGCTTTGTTTTGACCAGAAACTTAGTCCCCTTCTCTAGGGACAGACACCCAAGCTCTTCCAGCTCATAACTTTAATCTTGTCCATTCCTCTGCCCCAAAGACCCACGATTATAGGAAACAGACCCACTCTCCCTACTCCTTCTCTTTTCACCCCTTTTCTCAAGCCCACCATAGGTTTTCCAAACCCTAAATCCAGACAGCAGTGTGATGCTGTTATTCTTTACACCAGTCATCTGTTGCTTTGGGCAACAGAATTTCCACTGGGAGGACGCCTGGCTGGCCCAGTCAGCGGAACATGCAAATCTTGACCTCGGAGTTGTGAGTTTGAGCCCCACACTGGGTGTAGAGATTACATTAAAAAAAAAAATAAAATCTTTAAAAAAAAAGAATCTCCACTGCGAGTACCCACTGGGAAAGCTGGACAGTCATACCACCCAAGAAAACCAAAGGCCATTGTTGACAGACAAAAGTGGGGAGAAAGGATACCACATCCGGTCTAAGACAGGGTACCTTACGCTTGAGGAATTGAAAGTAGCTTAAGTCAAGAGGAAGCCTCGATACTGGGGAGCCTGAGCTAAGACTTCTATTTTTTTTTTATATTAAATTTATTGTCAAATTGGTTTCCATACAACACCCAGTGCTCATCCCAACAGGTGAAGACTTCTATCTATCTTTTAATGTGTATGTAAATGTTAATGAGCTCAGCACAGGATTCAGATTAAACTACAGAGTTTTAATAAAAACCCTCAATACTGACAATGAGAAATAAAAGTATTTTTTAAATACGAAAACAAGAGGAGAAAAACTGCAATGTCATCACTGATTAAACGCTTACCCTTTATGCCTAATTACCTTGCAGAACCATTAATATGCAATCCTCAAACATGCACTGCTTGCACTTGCTGGGTTTTATTTTATTATCACACTAGATTGTTTGGAAATATTCAGTTCTCCTTGTTTGCAGCGCACGGGGATTGGTCACTTGTTCACAACCAAAGAGTCAAAAGGAATTGGACTGGGGCACGTTATCAGCATGACCCAGCAAAGGGCATAAGTCACCAATGCCTCATTTTCAAACTCATGATTAGACTTATCCAAGAGCGTCAGGTAACTCCCTAACTACTGCCCTCTAACAGATATGTGATTATACACATTTACGTCTAATCACTTTATAATTTTCAAAATTTTAAGGAAAATATCCCTAGCTTCCCTTATGGACATCTCTGACATAAAGTATATTAAGTACTTAATAGTAATTAACAAAGGCGTTTAATGACAATTTAATGACTGTTAAATTTCCATTAGCTACCGACCTCCAAGCACATTAAACCCATTTAACACGTAATACCACCATCCTGACAAGGATTTTGCAAGATGGTTTCACTCTCTTCTGGTGGCAATTCACAGCCAGCTAATCTGAGTGAGATATTAAAAGTGGAGCCATGTACTGTGGGCCAGCCCGCCTGACAGGACACCATCTGATAATTAACTAGTTAATTTTCACTGTATTGATAAGGAAGAAAATACACCAATTCAGCAGGAGACAATAAGTAAATGACTAGGAGACAGAAAACTGAGTTGTATTTCAGGAAATAGAGAGGTTAAGGCAAGAAAAAAAAGGGGGTAGATTAACTTAGATTCCTTTACAAGCAGAAAGCAGATGAGAAGTAAGAAAACCACCATCTGCCTCCTCCCAATCCTCTTCCCCTAAAATGCTTATTAAACATAAAACTATTTCAGGGCGCCTGGGTGGCTCAGTAGGTTAAGCATCTGACTTCGGCTCAGGTCATGATCTCACAGTTCGTGAGTTCAAGTCCTGTGTCAGGCTCTGTGCTGACAGCTCAGAGCCTGGAGCCTGCTCCGGATTCTGTCTCCCTCTGCCCCTCCCCTGCTCGTGTTCTCTCTCAAAGAATAAATAAACATTAAAAAAAATGTCTTTTTAAAAAACTATTTCAACCTAACTTTCCCCATGTAGCTGCCCAGGGCAGAAACATCCGCCTGCAGAAGGAGGGGGGATGGGGGGCGTATCTCACTATGTTGTTCCTCTTGGGGAAAAGGAATAAAAGCTTTTCACTCCTACATAAATCTCAAAAAAGTCTATCTCCTATGAGTTTCCAACCACTAAATGAGGCTGATTAACACTTAACATGCTATACTGCTCTTTGTTTACAATCTCCTTACAAATGTTTGTGTGAGAGCTGAAAGAGACAGGTTGGAAGCGTTCACTATTTGTGACTCTTTGAGATTCTAATAAGGTAAGGTGGGTGACCAAAGTCACACCGCAGGTCAAAGGCATATCTCAGTTCAACAGCCAAACCTCTAGGCAGTATGGCCCCATGTTAGTAAGGAGAATACTCCAAAGTAACATTCTGACTAAGCGGCTTGGAATAATGACAATGGAAGATGGAAAACCCTATAGATCTAAGAGTCACAAATACCTAAAATTCATAGATAATATTTGTGAGCAGTAGGGAAAGGATTAATTGATTTTGGGTGAGTAACATATATAAATTTCAGTAAATGTAGATTATATATGGTATATTTTGAGTACAAAAAATATTCTGAACCCCCTTTTCACCTAGGAAACATTCTACTTAAAGGAAACATGTGCTTAACCCACCAAAAATACAAAATATATTTTAAAAAAGTATAATTCTATATCCATACTCGACTTCACCTAGATTGTAGATTATTGGTCTTCCATAATTAAAGGGCCTTTGCACTGAAAACAATGCTAAAAATTCCCTCCTACGTGCTTGTCACATTCTGGCCCTAAAAGTACAAAGTTCTGGAGAGGAGACTCTTTCTCCAAGAGAAGAGGAGATGACTGTTCTCATGTGTTGGACTGAGTGCCGTCTTTCCTTCACCAGACTAATCAGGGATTGAGCACTGAGCTGCAAATAAACCTGAGTGACCCTGGAGGGCTCCCCGGAAGTGAAGGTTGTTCCAATTAGAAGAACTGAAAAGGGTAGTCTGAAGCCCTAAAAAACAGAAATCTGAAATGAAGTAAAGTCCAGTCTCTCCATCAAGGGCTCTGAAGAAAGTGATTCCGGATGCACAGATCAGGCCTTACTTTATTCCCATTTATTTACCAAGTATTGACTTTGGACCACAATCTAGTTTTCCAAGTAGATTTTCTTATTGCAAGCACGTAGTGCTGGCTCTCATTAATAAGCTTTCTGATGTTTCTCAACTGACTTGCAATGGTTCTCAACCAGGGGTGATTTTGTCCCCAAGAAACACTGAGCAATGTCTGGAGAGATTTCTGGTTTTCACAACTGGAGGGGAGGATGTTACCAGCATCTAGTAGGTATGTAGCTAAATATCCTAGAATACACAGGATAGCCCCCTGCAACAAAGAATTACCCAGAGCAAAATGTCAGTGGTGTTGACCATGTACCTATGCTTCAATTATTAGACTATGTACCTATATTTCAGTTTATTTCTAGATGCATGAGTTCATTACAGTCACTCATGCAATGTACAAGTTTTTCAATCCTAGATGATAAAACTTCGCATTACTTTTTTTCCTCTGCTTTATTCCAGTAAATTCAAAACTTAAGTTTCCATACCTGTTTCTGAATTGCACATAATTTTTAAAACATAAAATGCTTTGATCCTATAACCTAATTCTCATTGTAATGATCAAGTAGAATCAATTACAAGAACATAATTTGGGAGGAGGGGAACCAGCACATAGGGAGACTGTTTCTCCAAGGATCTGAACACCAAGCAAATTATCTCAAGTAATCCTCAGGTCTGCAGAACAGGGTGGCCAGCCCCTGGAGTGCAAAGAGTTAACATAACCCCAAGCCTTTTCCTAATATCAACCTAACAATACCCATCTTTCTTCCAAGGAACTTGAGCAAAAAAGGCAATTTTACATATTTCCCTTCATAAGGACTTAACTCTTAGAGGCTGGAGGGAAAGGGGGCATTTTAAAGAATAACCTCCCTAACCTCTGAATTTGTGCATTTTAACTAGAATCAGCATTTTACTGAGAAAGAATCAAATGCCAAGTTCCTAAGAATTTTGTCCAGGTCACCAAATGACTCCTTTGCAAAATAAGTCTTAAAGTCTAAGTTGATTTTCTCGTAGACCTACCATTTTTTTGCATAGTTGCCATGAAAATTCACACTTTAGTATATACCAACTTTATTAGATTTTTTTAAATTTATATATATATTTTTTACTTTGTCATCTTTTTCTAAAGTATTCTTGCTCTTGGTCTCAGCAGATACCCTCTTGCCTTCCTATTTAGCAGGCGGAATACAGCGTAATTTTTACCAAAGATCCAGGACATGGAAATACATTTTCAGCAGTAGGTTCTTAATGCTTAAGGATATTTGTTTAAATGTGCCAGTGATTTATTTCAATTTTGCTGCATAGGAAATAGAAATTTGAGATAAAGAAGATGATAGAAGGCAATCTATAATAAGGAAAATGAAAAGAAAAACAAAATAAGCATTTTCCCTTTTTAACCAAACTATTAAGGATGTTCCTAAAAATGTTTTGTAGGGTATTAACAGATGTTATACATAAAAGGGTGCCAAGATCAAGTAAGTCTGGGAAACAGCTCCTATCCCCCTATCCCCACCCATGGAGAAATCCTGCCATATATTGGCAGATGAAGATTCCAAAATGTCGCTCAAAGTTTTCCCATATTTTCCAAACTTACAAGGACCACAGAACACTTTGTAGCATAATCTCTATTAAGCTATCTTGCTCCATTTTGTTACCATCTTATTCGAGCTCATTTTAGCCGCTGATCCAAAATCCACAAGCTTGATGTGTCCTATTCGGTCAATGAGTATGTTCTCAGGCTTGACGTCTCTAAGAAAATCAGGGCCACAAATTAGTATTGTCTTCTCCATGCCAATCAGCAAGCAACTATTAACCTAGGATATCAATTCAGCCAAGAATCTCAAGGTCTATGTCCTGCTATACATACCTCCTGATTGATAGATATAAATAATAAGCAAAACATTCTGCAAAACAAATTTAAGTAAGAAAAAGAAGGAGAAGAAGGAAAAGGAGGAGGAGGAGGAGGATGAGAAGGAAGAGGAGGAGAAAGGGAAGGAGATGGAAATAGAAAAGAGCAGGAGGGAGAGAGGAAGGGAGGAGAAAGGAACAAATCTAAGTTATTAGATGGATTATTTCTCCTAGAGACACACATTTTACATTATGAAAGCAACAAGGGGATTGGCCTAAGGTCATGTAGCTAAGTCAATGGAAAAACCTGAGATTCTATTCGAGGTCTCATGACTCCTGGCCTAACTGTGGTTCCATTCCCACAACATTCTCAGAGGTACATAAAACGTCACACGAGGGGCGCCTGGGTGGCGCAGTCGGTTAAGCGTCCGACTTCAGCCAGGTCACGATCTCGCGGTCTGTGAGTTCGAGCCCCGCATCAGGCTCTGGGCTGATGGCTCAGAGCCTGGAGCCTGTTTCCGATTCTGTGTCTCCCTCTCTCTCTGCTCCTCCCCCGTTCATGCTCTGTCTCTCTCCGTCCCAAAAATAAAAAAACGTTGAAAAAAAAAAAAAAATTAAAAAAAAAAAAAAAAACGTCACACGAGCAAGGATGCAAAAAAACATTTTTCAACAGAGGGTGGAACACCTGTGTGAATTACTAACTAATTCTATAAGGTCAGAAGTACAACTCCATGGGCTTCTGCCCCTACATGGTATGCCAGTTCCTTCTGCAAATCAAATTCAGTTCTTCTACCATGTAACCTGAAGAACCCACGCAAGAGTTCTCAGTCTTATCAGCTACATTAACAGATCTTATTAGCAAACTTGAGAACGTTATAATTATAGATCTATTTCACTGCTGAATGAGTAAGCTGAAAGGTCTGCCATTTTGGAAAATATACCTTCAGCCATTTACAGTTAGGACTGGTTAAAATTTGGGGGTGTCTGGGTGGCTCATTCGGTCGAGCATCTGGCTCTCAGTTTTGGCTCAGGTCATGATCTCATGGGTTCACGAGTTCAAGCCCCGCATCGGGCTCCACACTGACAGTGCACAGTCTGCTTGGGATTCTCTCTCTCTCTCCCTCTCTTTCTTCCCCTTCCTACACACTCTCTTTCTCACTCTCTACCCCAGAATGAATGAATAAGTAAATAAATAAATAAATAAATAAACTTAAAAAAAAAAAAAAAGACTGGTTAAAATTTGGAGGGAGCATTATTTTGATGCTGAAATCGTGCATCCATTCATTCATTCTACTGTGGGACTTGTTAGGTGATACAGATAAATTCTCAGTATACTACCTGAGTCTCACTTACCGATGCACATATCCCATCTGATGAATGCTGTGAACAGCCAAAATCAATTCGGCTAGGTAAAACTGAATCGTATTTTCATCTAATTGGTCCTCGTATCTGTTCAAAAGTGACAGCAAGTCCCCTCCAGGCTGATATTCCATGACCTGTATAGAATACCAAAGTTATTAATTCTTCACACACCCCAAAAGGGAATGTCTCAATTAGAGCCTCAAATGCTGCCTGACGTGTTATAATTACAACATCTCCACAAAGCAACCAAGATGTGAGAGACATATTGTAAGTCACGTAGGATGAGATCCTTGCCCTAAGGAAATTACATCCAATACCCAAGAGAATCACTATAATGAAAGACTAGTCCCAGACACCACGCACAGTGTTTGCAAGGTAAGCTTGAAAAGCTGAATTAAATCCACCCACTCACCTACCCACCCACCCAAGTTGACACCCCAGACATTCCCTAGGATTCGGTACACAGTGTAGATGGAAATTGCTGGAGGGCAACAAACCCTCTGGCATCCCTTCTGTATTTCTCTCGGCACCCAGCAGAACACAGGAAGGGTGCACCAAATGTGATACAACCTTTTCCTGCAACAGTCATCTGACCACGTCTGTTACAAATTTAAATGTGAAATATATACTCTTTGACCTAATAATTCCACTTCTGACCACTTATCTTACAGGAACTTATAGTAGTTTGTAGATCAATAAGACACACAGATTCACTGCAGCATTGCTTGTGACACAGGAGAGAGAAAAAGCCTGGAAATCACCCAAATATCCATCATTAAGAAATTCCTGAAATATGACATATCTAAACCACGGGAGAAGATGTAGATATGAAAAATGAACAGACTCCCTTTATTCATACTGCCGTGGAAAGCTGCCCATGATAATATAAAGTGACATACAGGATAAAGTACAACCTCTTTCTTCTGATAAAAAAATTACTACATTTGTTAACATATACATTATATTATGTTTGAGGCTGGTTTGCCTGGGTGGCTACAAACTGCAGCCTGGTGACTTAAGCTCTCAGCCTTTCAGTTTCATCCACTGTAAAATGAGGATAAGACTAATTCCCTCGCAACACCCTGCCTGGCACCAACAAGGTCTTCAACTGCCAGTCAGGAGTCTTCCTTTCCCGACCTTCGCTGCCTAATCCTTTCCTGGCTGGGAGAAGCCAGGACACATTTCGACCACTCTTACTCAGCTCTCTCTCGTCCTTTGCTCTGATTTCCCATTTTGTGAGCCACACTATAAATGTCTTTTGTTTTAAGTTGTCTCAAATCCTTTCTGGAAAGAGGCAAGATCCAAATAAACATCTTAAAAAAAAAAAATACTAAATCTCTCCAACTACTGCATTCCAGAAGCCAATTTTGGGATGTGAATTCTCTCCCTCCTCCTCCAAACTCCTGTTTGCTTTTGGTCCAGAATTAGAAGAAAGCTCTAGTCGAGTGAGACATGGAGCATCTGTACATTCCACAGAGGCCCCAGGCTGGTCCAGTAAAGATTCTGCCCAGCACCGAGTCAACCCTACCCCAGAGACCCCTGGAGGAGCCAGTGACCTGCATGTCCTCCCCAAGGGCTCTGGGTCACCTGGGAGTCTCCCCCACTCACGTGGCATCTTGCATGGAGCACAGAGTCAACCAGATACTGGACAATTTGAAGAGTAAGGTTCCATCTGCACTGTAATTATTGGGGAAAAAATGATTTATGAACTAGCAAGAAGGGTGAAGTGTAGAAGGAGTGGCGGCTAAAATGCAGCCTTTATTGCCCCAAAGTTCACAGCAGACTGAAAGCTACCAGTCCCAGTCCTAGAAGAAGCCACAGGAGCCACCTGGCTGCCTAAAGCTCGCCCACTGATTCCAACCTGGTTCTCCACAGGCCCTAGTTATGTCGGTGAATGTTAATTTTTATATCTGTTTTAAACATATATTGCCATTAAAAAGGTCTTAAATGCCCTCTCCCCTCCCCAAAAAAATCACCAGTAACAACAGAAGTACTCATGCTTTTAGAACGGAAACATCTTAAAATAGGAACAATGCATATTTATGACGATACATCGCAGTTAAAAACTTTCTAACCTGGCTCTATTAAAGATGTGAAAAATAGGGGCGCCTCGGTGGTTCAATCGGTTGAGTGTCCAACTTCGGCTCAGGTCATGATCTTGCAGTTTGTGAGTTCGAGCCCCGTGTCAGGCTCTGTGCTGACAGCTCAGAGCCTGGAGCCTGCTTTGGATTCTGCGTCTCCCTCTCTTTGCCCCTCCCCTACTCATGCTCTCTCTCTCTCTCTCAAAAATAAACATTTTAAAAAACTTTTTATAAAAAAAAAAAAAAAGATGTTAAAAATAGAATGGCTGTAAGTTTAAGGATGACAAAGTCAAACATATAGCACCCACTGGCAACTTTTAGGAGCTCACAAACTGACCACTCTGTAATACTTCACAACTTCACAACTATTCCTGAAGACTCTATTTTGTAATGACCAGTAAAATAGTTCAGAAAATAAGAACCATCTCTTAAAAGGCAAAAAGATACGTATTCTGTGTGCTTATTCAGAAGATCCAATTTCCTGAGCTGAAAATCCCCACGAAAACTAAGATCAGTCTTTTCTGAGTCAAACAACTTTTCATTTCTTCAAAACCAGGGTTGATTGGGAAGACAAGTGACAAAAATTACAACAGCTGTGAGGCAGCATGTTCCACAACATGGGACAAAATAGACACGAAATGACAAACCCCTAAATAGACTGGGTCCTTATCAAAGAACTAATCAGGCTTGAGCCACCAACACGATCCCACATTACCACCCTAAAAATTCAAGTGCCCACCGTTAGAGAACTTAATTTGGACATTTACTGAGTAAATTTGTTATCCCTATCCCAAAGCTATCCTGCTGGGGTACAGTCGCTCATTCTGGCAAAATGGGGAACAGGGCTTGTGTGTGGTCAATTCAAGCTTAACCAATCATCTTGCTGTTAAGCTTAGACATAAACAACAGGACTTGGGCACTTTCAGAAAACACCTCTGGACTTTTAAAAATGGTACCAAAGCCAGAGGCTCCAAAAGCATCATCAAAAGTCAAAAATTAAGGGGCGCCTGGGTGGCTCAGTTGGTTAAACATCCAACTCCTGATTCCGGCTCAGGTCACTATCTCATAGTTTGTGAGATCGAGTCCCATGTCAGGCTCTATGCTGATGGTGTGGAGCCTGCCTGGGATTCTCTCTCCCTCTCTCTCTGCCCCTCCCCAGCTTGCTTGCGCTCTCTCTGTCAAAAAATAAACAAAAAAATTTTTTAAAACAAAGTCACAAATGAAGAGCCTTTAAATCTCCTTACCAGATGGCTTGCTATGAACTAAACACCAGGGTCAGAAGAACACGATAAACCATTTAAGGCCAAAGTCACCACCCAGGCTGTCCCAGACAACCCATTCACAGCACCTGCTTTTGTCCAAAAGTGTGACTCCGTCCAGGACTTTGACTACTCAGAGATGCCTGGTGAGGCACTGATACCCCCAAAATGTGGCTTGTCAAACCTGCCTGTCCATCAGAATCACCCAGGGAGGTGCTTTTGAAAAACAGAAAAAAACACATTCATCAAAAAAAAAATTTTTTTTTTGAGTGCCTGCTGTGTGTCAGGCACTATTCTAGATATAAGGAAAACAGCAGAGACTAAAACAGACAAAAGTCCTTTGCCTTCATGGAGCTGGAATTCTAGAGGAATGAAAAATAGCGAACATTAAGCAGTATGAAAGGGTAAAGTAGGTTTCATTCTCACCCCAACCGGTTATTCAGGGAGCTTGTTAAAACTCCCAGTGACCGTGGGTGAGGTCCAGAAACCTGCATTTTTAAGGAGCCACCGGGGTGGCTGACGCAGCCAGCCAGCCCAGCACTGTACTGAGACCCAATGCTGAGGAAGTTGTGGAGACAACGTGGCTCCCTGCTTCAAGCGGATGAAAAGTTTCTACAAGCAAGAGGTGCCCTTGATACAGCCAACACTCCTGCTGCTTGACGTTTTTTTCAATGACTACCTACAGCCTTTCTGACCATCACGACGAGATCACCAGCAACAAAGAGCCGGAAGGTAACCAGTCCGTCAGCACAGAGGCAATAATCCTCCACGGATGGATGAGACATGTGCCTGCCCGCAACGACCAGCTGCAGGTCACCCAAATGGCACTCACCAAGGCATGGTAATCAAAGGCTGGGGCGACGGGAGGAGGAAAAGGGCCCTATAGGGAAACAGCCCTAAACAATGCGGCAGCCCTGCAGATGGCAGAGAAAGCACAGCAGCTGACAAACAAGCCTGGCTTGGAGCTATCACAGACTTGCTCTTTTAAAGCAAAGACATTCAGGCCAACAGAGACAAACCCTTCTAATGGCAGCAGCTGCAGATACTAATTAAAGGGCAAATCTTACATGTGTTCGGTTTGGAAGGAGTAGAGGCCTCTCTGTTGGTGTTTGCAGCTACACCCCAAGTACAGGGATAGCAAGGGAGAGCAATGCCCATCAGTTGTGTGGCATTTGAAACAAAGGACAAGAGTGTGTGTGTGTGTGTGTGTGTGTGTGTG